ACCTCGTCGACGACTAGCGCGCGCTGTGCATACATATTACATAGATCCGGCGAAGCAGGGAGCGGGAACATGCCGACATCAGGGGCCTGGAGCCCCGCAGCTGAGGAACGAGGCCCGATGATACCACAAGGTTTACGCGCACGGCGGAGGTATAACAAGGTTTGGCGCGAATGCCGTTGATTCCTGCGGGCAACGAGGCGGCGAATCGGCGATGACAGTTGCCGTCGGCGTGTTGCGCTCCTGACTGTCCGAAATTAAAGACTCCATAGGGCGTCAAGGGAGACGCCAGAGGTTGCAAGCTCAGTCAGACGCTCAGTGAGAGTTTGAAGAAAGTTGAAAGGTCGTGGTGAAAGTCAAGGGAGGAGCTTGGCTCTGAGTGGCAACTGCTTGGATCACACACACGTCCAAACACAATCACGCTTGCCTCCTGACCTAAACGTTGCCTTAACGTCGGCTGAACCTCAACGATTCTTCAGCTGCTCCTGAGCTGGCCATGTGCATAGTGAATTGCTTGTGTGCCCAATATCGCCTGTTGTGCTCGACATCCGCCACCCCCAAAGTCACCCCAAAGTCACCAAACTTGGTTAAATCTCATTGACGACTCGAACTCCGCCAAAAGGTTTTTTTAGACCATGCGGTAATTCCATAGACTGATACATGTCTCTCGGAAGTTCTAAGGCCTCAAAATACTCTTGCACCGAGTCGGCTGTTCCTCGTTCCACTACTCCGGAGCATTCTTCGACGATTCTTTTGCCCCTTGCTCCTTGAACTGAGTCCGCTCAACTTGGAATTCTCGGCCAACTCTCTGCCTACCTGTCAGCTGTCCTTCCCAATGTTTATTTGTGCCGTCGCAGTGTGGAATCCAGAGTCGGGTCTCGGCACTTCGCTTGTTCCCAGCGGACAGATAATTTCAAGAAACAGTCGAGCAATTGCTCTCGCGGTCGGAGTCTCCGTCCTTGGCTACCTATGCAGCCCTCCAATCTCGAGTCAGTTGTGCCTGTCAGTCTTCGCAGTATAAATGCTCCTCTTTGGGATCTTCTACATCTTCGCACTGGTAAATCCGGGCTCAGGGCTCGGGCCTCGTTCAGTCTTCCCGCCAGAAAGCACAGGAAGGAAAAAGCAGCCTGGCCACGCTTTACTTTGACCGGTCGTCGCTTTGGTTTGCCTTCGACTGTTCCGACCGGACTTGGGGAGGTGTATTCATGGTCATCTCCGCAGCCTTCGACGGCGATAATCTCTCCCGACTACCATCTCTCCCTACTACAACCGCGAACCTGTAGCGCCCCAGCTTATACTTATTGCACCGAAGTTCGCCGTACGTATACCCCTACGTCGCGTTCCATTCCATATATCACGCCGGGGCCCGGCTCAGCTGGTCGCAACAAAAATACTCCCTGGAACTCGTTCTCTTCCAAATCGAAGAATTACCTTTGGCTCTCAAGCCCGCGACGCGGACTCGGTATTCCTGCCCGCCTCCGCGGCTTTGAATACTCGGCAACTTCTATGTTGTGACTGGCAACTGGTCGCAACAGAAATCCTCAACTTTAGGCAGATTCTTCGATGACGTCGCACTGGGACTCCAGCGTCTCGACCCTCCTCCGTTCCCCCTTGTTGGAACCTCAACTATTCTGGTCAGGGGCATAGAAATACCTTCGGATCAGGAATCCAGACTCGGGCCATAACTTTCGTTTGTTCCCAGAAGAAACATAAACAGTCCGGGAATTTTGCAGCTTCATTTTTATTAACGATCGCGGTGTCACTCCTAGCTGACCCTGGTTTAGATTCTAATACCTCGACTACTTGAACCAAGATTTGAACGGAATCTGGAATCTGTTATTTTTCAACTCAGCGATTCTTCATCACTTTAGCACACGACTCGAACCATCTCCGCGGCCTCCACCAGCCGACTGGGACCGATCTGCATCGCGAAGCCCCCGTGGCCGCCCTCCGTTCACACGGCGCCGAGGATCGCCACGCCCCGCTTACAGACGGCCTTCCGATTCGCGTTCAACTTCCATTCCATTCCACATGTCATGCGCGCGGCCGCTCTCCAACCCTCCAGCCCGCCAAAGTCTCCGCACCCGACAGCCGACGACGCAGATCACCTTCTCCTTCCAGCGAATCGCTATAAAAAGACGCAGCGTACCCACACCCACGCCCCCGTTCACGTGGCGCCGCTGCCCGTGTGAATCCTCGACCACAGTGTGAACGAAAGCCGCAACGGGTGCGAATGCAGAGAGCCTATTCGACAGTGCGATCTGCACGACGTCTCTACACCGGGCTCCGGATCGCCCTGCCATCGCACGCCAACTCCAAGTATAGCGCACTCTGCACGCGCGAGCCGTGCGCGCAATGTCCGCCGCCCGCAGCAAAGTCGCCACGCCCCCGCCGTGCCGCGCCGCCCGTATCACCGCACCCCGAAACGTGCCTCTATGCCCATAGTGCCGCATCACGCTCCGAACTTCGAAGCACCAGGCCCGCTGACCTTGCGCTGGCCGGCGCTCCACAGCGCCTTCAAGCAAGTTCACATGGCCGCGCCTTCGCACACGCGCCAATCAAGCGGGCTGGCTCGTTCGCTTGTCGAAGCAATGGCAGCACCTAGACCGCGGCCACAATCAGCGCTCCGCCGCCCGAACGGCGAAGATTATTCGCATCTGTCTCTACTCAAAGGATCCATCTATCTGTCTGGAGCGTATCACTATTGAGGCATATCAACGTCTGGGGAAGTCGATACGGCGGGCTATGCACGACGGACTGGCTCGCTGCTCCGCCTCGTTCATCAACGCAAGACAGCGTCCGCTCATCAACCAAGCAAACGAGCGAACGAACGAAAATTTAATCATCTGACGGACGACACGCCCGTTAATATAAGTCGTATCAGCATGGCGTGTCGGTTTATTTCTTGCGGCGAGGCAGATTTTGTGCGCGACGGTGGCCCGCACCGCGTGGCGCGTCGGGAAGAAGACACGCCCGCGACGGCGCCGAGCGCTCGTCGGGCGTGAGCTTCTCCCGAGAAAATCTCCCCGCGTCGAAATGATTGTAGTACCAGAGCGAACCACCGAACTGAAACAAGACAACAGTAGGATCAGAGAAGAAAAAGATCGGCAAAATCCAAAGAAAATACACGAGACTGCCAAACGTGCAACTGCCACGTGATCGCGTGCTGGTGATGCAACAATCACAACTCAGACTCTTCCCACAACCTTCATCACTGCGGCCCCGAGTGAGTACGGCCCCGAGTGAGTACGCATCGACACTACACGGCGCTAAATCTGAGATACACAAGCAGAACGATGAATCCCCTGCACATTCCGGAACTCGTAGATCACTGTGTCGGCTTCCTCGCTCAACCCGATCTGTGTTCATGCGCCCTCGTCAGCCGGTCCTGGGTATATCTCGCACAATCACATCTTTTCAGCGAGATAATCATCGAGGCCTCGCTCTCACTCTTCGACCTCCGAGCCCCGGCTTTGCTCGATGTCCTGGAGGCCTCTCCGCACCTCGCCGGCTACATATTGACGCTCTACATCGAGGAGCCCCTCAGTCCGCACGATTACCTGCGCCTCAGCAATATACCATGCACCCGATTGTCTTCTCTGCACATCGGCCGTTACAGCACCCTGCCTTCCGAGGGTGCCGTTGCCATACAACAGCTGCTCAGTCTTCCCGCCCTGGTTTCTGTTGTTCTCAAGTGCACATTTGAGACCAGAGGTCAATTCCTACGAATATGGAAACACTGCTCCCCAAGTATCAAGCATCTTTCGTTGATCCCTCGATTTGACAACGAAACGGCGCCGTTGATTGATCCAGGCCACGCATCCACTGGCAGCCGTCGCATCATGCTAGATTCCTTCCAGATGGACATCATTGGAAATGTCCAGTGGTGGCTCGACGATCCCCGCTGTCCATTGAATTTTTCTGCTCTCAAGGCTCTCAAGTACACTCACGGTCCGGACGTTTTCTCGTCCGGGATCCTGTTACAGGCACTTAAAATGGTCGAAGTGCTGGCTATAGGCGTATGTGCTTCTGGTCTCTCTCCATGATATCCCGCTAATTTCAGATTCCTTCAGTCCCAAAGCGCTGCCCTCCCAGCCTTCGAACGCCTCACCGATCTCCGACTGCTGGTCCGCCGCCTCACCCAATTCTTGCCTCTCCGGACGCTCCCCACTATCCACCCGGCGAGCCGGGCGCGCCTCCGCGTCCTCCGGTTCAATTTCATTATCGCGCCATACCGCGACACCCCTCGGGCGCCCCTCCTCGCGCTCTGCGGGCAGGTCGACCGTGCGCTCGCTGACCTGCCAGCGCGGGACCATTTTCCCAACCTCGCGCTTGTGCATATCACGGTCATTGCAGCGACTCCGGCCCTCACAATTGGTGCCGATTCGGAGGACTATTTCCCGCTCTTAGACCCAGGGATCACAGTGCAGTGGAGTATGCACTTCATTCAGTGTATGCTGCATCGTTTTAAGCTTCTCTCTTCCATATTTCCGCCCGCAAGCAGCGGCACCTTGGTATAAGAGCATCGCGTGAACCACTCATGATGGTTGTTTGCATTGCATCGTAAAACCCATACAAATTTTCCTCATTGTGAAACGATGTACGTTGGAGACACTTGTGAACCCGGGGCTTTAACTCGCCAGTCCGGGGAAATTACTGCAGCAGCCAACATTTTAGGCAGGTTTTAGGTGCCCGATGTCAACGACCAAGATTAAGATTGAAGCAATGGTACCGAGTTATATATCATGCCAGCCCTCCGTATTGGGCCCAGCAAATCCCTCGGAATCTTTCCAGATTGAATCGCCACGGCCCACGGGGCCCCGTCGTGACGCAAGATCCCCACCCTAGCGCCCAAGACACCCCAGTATTTCGATCGATTCATCCGCACCATCGCTTCCACCAGTGCTCCTCTGCTCAAGGTTGATTCTCGACTCAAACCCGACCACATATGATTTAGCATCCAATGCCCCCGGTGGCAAAGAAAAGTCTTACCACTACCATATTGCACCAGCGGGGAGTCGAACCCCAGGCTCAATCTTACTCATTCTTCCGATAGAACATTGAGTTGATTGGGTGTACCATACACCACTGGCGCATTCAGCCCAAGTTTAATCACCCAAATTACACACAGATAGGCAGCTTCTGCACCCAATTCCCCGCCCGGCAAAAATGGTTCATAGCACGACCAATAATGCACCAGCAGGGAATCGAACCCCAGGCCAATCTTACTCTGCTTTGATTTCCAGCATATGAGTGGATGGATTGTGTGGACCATATACCACTGGTGCTCTGCAACTGCTGGTTTACGTCGTCCATTTAAACGGCACGGGAGTCCCTGATGGCACGGGCAGTCAAAAAAATGAACTAGACCTTAAACAACCATGCACCAGCGGGGAATCGAACCCCGGACACACAATTTTTACTCATTCTTTGCATCCAACGTGAGTTGATTATGTGTACCATACACCACCGGTGCTCTTCAACTCAAGGTTTCATCCTTAACTTATACTGCACAAAAAGTGTTGCTGGCCATTGATCCTGGCGGTCAAAAATCGGATTTCAAAACCACAACTATGTACCGGGGGAGTCAAATCCAGGACTCAATCTTATTCATCGTGATTGACTCGATTATATGAAGGAATTGTATTTACTGTAAACCGCAGGTTCTCTTCGCCTGCATGGAACTCCCTTGATTTTCAAACCACACAAAAAAAAGGGATCAGCAGCCTAGGGACAGAACCAAGTCCAAAACAATGTACTCTACTTACACCACACAGATAGGCAGCTTCTGCACCCGATTCCCAGCCCGGCAAAAATGGTCTATAAACACACTAACCATGCACCAGCGGGGAATCGAACCCCAGGCCAATCTTACTCTGCTTTAATTTCCAGCATATGTGTGGATGGATTGTGTGGACCATACACCACTGGTGCTCTGCAACTGCTGTTTACGTCGTCCATTTAAACCGCACGGGAGTCCCTGATGGCACGGTCAGCAAAAAAAAATGGACTGGACCCTAAACGATCATGCACCGGCGGGGAGTCGAACCCGGAACTCAATCTTAAGCATTCTTTGCATCAATATGAGTTGATTGTGTGTGCCGTACACTACTGGTGCTCCTTATCCCAGGTCCATATCCTTGATTTATACCACATGAAAAGAGGTTAGGCATCGTCGATTTAGGTTGCCAAAAAGAGTTTTAAAAATCACCCTCATGCACCAGCGGGGAGTCGAACCCCGGACTCAATCTTGCTTACGTGCCCAAACTGCCAACTCAGCAGTGGATTGTGTGTGCCGTACACCACTGGTGCTTTTCATCTCAAGTTTGCACCTAGCACTTGATTCACACAAAATTGGTGGAGTTGACACCTGATGTTCTGGGGCTAGACTTGACATGCCGTGACTGATGAGAGCTCGAGTTTGTTGAGTGTACCATACACCACCAGTCCTTTTAAATCTAAGTTTACTCCCTTGTCATATTCCACTTGTGTCTCACACACTATGCGTGGAACAAGCACCATTGTGACTTGAACCCATATTCACTGAATTTTGGTTCATTCACTGCTCTAGCTAGCTCGATCTAATGACCTGAGTTGATTGTGTATCCTGCCTTTCGAGCAGTCTAGCTATACCAAATGAATCAGTCGTATGAGCAAAGAAGAGAAAGAAAAATCCCGCATCACTAAGACAAATGTGCCTGTGGCCTGAGGTTCAAAGCCCAGGCTCACATACATTGCTTCAGGTATCTCATAAATTCAATTCAATTCAATTCAAAAGAAGGTGGGGGGAAAAACTGGACTGGTTCGGGAGAAGTGCACCCTCGGGGGATCGAACCCAGACTCAGCCTGACTTTTCTATCACTTCAACAATAGAAGACTGTGTGTTACCGCGCGCTACACTATACTACTAAGGGTGCATGATCTCAGTGTGCCAGAGGTCATGAGGTGGAATGTCGATATTACAGCAACTGCACATCACAGCTACCAATTTGGACCGAGAACAAATCAGACCGGCGAAAATAGAATAAGGCAAGAAACCAATTTCCAGGTAGCAAATGCACCCTCGGGGGATCGAACCCCGGACCCAACCCTAACATTTCGTGGGAGTCTCAATAGTCGAAGGCTGTGTGTTACCGTTACACCAAGGATGCTTGATGTGTTGGCACATTGACTGGTACACCTGACCTCGGACAGGGGAAGAGCACAAGACAAAAAAGAGCAGGGGGGCGAAAATAAGAGTAAGAGTAAGAAAAATGAAAAGAAAAGAATACCCAGACATATGCCATGCGTCCTCGGGGGATCGAACCCCGGACTCAATCGTATTCTTATCCTACGACATCTGGATTAGCAGATTGTGTGTTACCGTTACACCAAGGACACTTTCTTGCTTTCAGCAGGTTACATAGTGTAACGGGGGAGTGAGGTTGAGACGGGCCGGCAAAACGACACAACAAGAAGAAAAAATGAGTAAAAAGAGAAAGAGAACAAGAACGAAAAAGAAAGAAAAAAGAAAAGAATGCACAAACATATGCTATGCGTCCTCGGGGGCTCGAACCCCGGACTCAGCCTAAACTGGAACTTCTGCCTGAATAGTAGGAGGCTGTGTGTTACCATTACACCAAGGACGCTTGATCCATCTGCTGTATTTAAACAACACGGAGGTGTAGATTAAGACGGCCCGGCAAGAAATACATGGGAGCAAGAAAAGAGGGGAGTATGAAATAAGAGTAAGAAAGAGAAAAAGAAAAAGAAAAAAGAATGCTCAGACATATGCTATGCGTCCTCGGGGGCTCGTACCCCGAACTCAATCTGATTCATATCCTATGACATCGGGATTAGCAGATTGCGTGTTACCGCTACACCAAAGACGCTTGATCCTTTCACCCCATTTGAACAACACAGGTGAGGCTCTCAAATAGCAATGCAATAAGAAATGAGCCAAAAGCATAATCAATGAAGTGCATGCGTCCTCGGGGGTCGAACCCCAGACCTAATCTTATTCATGGAGCGTTTTACATATAAAGATTGTGTGTTACCGCTACACCAAGGATGCTTGATCCTTTTGCTGTATCTAACCAACAGGTGAGGCTGTCAGATTGAGACAGAGGAAGAGCACGAGAGAGAGAAGGAAAAAAAGGGACATAAAGGACATAAAGGCAGATCCGTCCTCGGGGGGTCAAACCCCAGACTCAATCTCAAATTTGCTATGTCCTAAATTAATAGAAGATTGTGTGTAACCGTTACACCAAGGACACTTTCTTGCTTTTGGCAAGTTAGTGCAACAGGGGAGTGTGGTTTCCAGATTGAGACAGGCCGGCGAAAAGCAAAATCAAAAGAGAAGAACAAGGATGAGTAAGAAAACAGAAAATGAAAAGAATACCCAGACATATGCCATGCGTCCTCGGGGGGTCGAACCCCGGACTCAGCCTAAACTGGAACTTCTATCTGAATAGTGGGAGGCTGTGTGTTACCGCTACACCAAAGACGCTTGATCCCTTCACCTCATTTGAACAACACGGAGGTGTAGATTAAGACGGGTCGGTGAAAACTACATGAGTAAATAAAGTACTTGAAAGTGCAAGCTTGAAAGTGAAGGGAAGGAAAAGAAAAAACACTTGGAACTGGCAGATGTGTCCTCGGGGGGTTGAACCCCAGACTCAACCATATGACTACAGCCAAGATATTATTAGGAGATTGTGTGTTACCGCTACACCAAGGACACTTGATCCTTTCACCCCATTTGCCCAACACGGAGGTTTAGATTCGGAAGAGCATCAGAAGAGAGCAGAGGAGAAAGATGAGTCAAAAGTACGTGAAAGTGAAGGAAAAAAAAAAAAAAAAAGAGGAAGAAACAGACAAATGCGTCCTCGGGGGCTCGAACCCCGGGCTCCACCTTAACACATGAGCACTGGACAATTTGAAAGTGGTGTGTTACCGCTACACCAAGGACGCTTGATCCTTTCACCCCATTTGAACAACACACAGGTAGGACTAGTAATCTCAAATAGCAAAATACAATACGAAAATGAGCCAAAACCATCATAAACGAAGTACATGCGTTCTCGGGGGGTCGAACCCCGGACTCAGCCTAAAGTGGAACTTCTGTCTCAACCAGAAGGCTGTGTGTTACCGCTACACCAAGGACGCTTGATCCCTTCACCCCATTTGAACAACACAGAGGTTTAGATTAAGACGGGCCGGGGAAAAATACATGGGTTGAAAGTGAAGGAAAAAAAAAAAGAAGGAAAAAAAAAAAAAAAAAAAACACTTGGAACTGGCAGATGCGTCCTCGGGGGCTCGAACCCCGGACTCAATCATATGACTACAGCCAAGATATTAATAGGAGATTGTGTGTTACCGCTACACCAAGGGCGCTTTCTTGCTTTCGGCAAGTTACTGCCATAGTCCAAGAGTGAGATACGTAGCCTGAGAAGTAGCGGAACTGACAAATTACGAACGTGGTCGAGGTGAAAGAGCAGAACAAGAGGAAAAACACGAGAAGGAAAAATATATATAAAAACACTTGGAACTGGCAGATGCGTCCGCGGGGGGTCGAACCCCGGACTCGGCCTGACCGCTTGCGAATTTTAATAACAGAAGGCTGTGTGTTACCGCTACACCACGGACGCTTCACCAGCTCGGCCCATTGATGTCGATATACAGTACTTATTGTATACCTCAATTCGCGATTACATTAAATTATAAATTAGGCCCGGGTGTAGACGGCGATGAGGGCCGGGGGTGCGGGTTGTATCTAATTATAATGGGTAGCCCGCCCGCGCCCGCAATTGCAATCGCTCCCCTTCTCCTTAAGCTTGCGCAGCTAACGGCAGGCCGCACTCTGACACGTAAATAAGGCGCCGATCGGGCACGCACGCAGATCGAATCGCGCCGTCGCGGCCACGGACGTAACGTGCGCAGAGGTTACGTGCCAGCGGTGCGCGACGGCGAGGCGCGCCGATCCCCGGGGCGCGATCGAGATGACGCCGGCTGGCGGGCTGGTTCGGTTCGGCGGCTTAGTTTGTAAGTGAAGTGCGTGCGGAGCGGTTGGTGGGTTTGGGGCGGGACCCCGGGGAGCGCGGCGCTTCTTTGCGGCGTGATCGACAGGGGTGCGACGTCCGGCGACAACGCACAGGAAAGAGGGGCAGCGGGCCTCCGACATGGCGTCAATCAGCGTACTAGGGAGATCCACGCCCGGCGATGGGCATCATCTGCGCCCCCCCCAAAAAAAACAAGGACAGGGAAAACAAGGAGGGAAAAGATTGATGGGGAGCGGGAAGCGGGATTGGCTGCGATAACTCCGAGCCTCCGTGATGCGGCGCGCCACGCCTTCGTTCTCGGTAATAGTTTGCGTTGGAGCGACTCGGAGGCAGGCAGGCTCGGCTTGCCGCTTCCCGCGCGGCCGCGTGCTGCATGCTGGCGGCAAGGCGCTTCTTTTCACGTCGGTCATAAGCGCAGCCTGCCCAGCCCCGCCTGCCTCCCCGCTTCTGCACTTTGATCCCTCCCTTTGCTTTCCCTCCGCGCATCTGCGCCCTCGACGCCGCCGCCCTTGCGACCAGACTACTTCGACGCCACGACAAGATGACCGACACGGGCGCCGCCGTCGCGCCCCCCGCCGCAGCCGTTGAGCGGCCCATACTAGACTTGAAAGACCGCGAGAACTTGAAGGAGCACTTGAAGGAGAAAGACGACGTGGCGATGAGCGACGCGGACGCCCCCGCCGAGCCCGACCCCGCCCTCGCGCCTGCGCCCGAAAAACACACAGACGAGCCCGCTGCCGCTGCCATTACCAACTCCACTTCCACCGCCGCCGCCGCCGCTCCCAACAACGCCACAACCACCACCACGCAGCCGCCGCCCCCCGCAGGCGCCAGCACGACCGCCGCGCACCTCGCGACGCTGCTCGCCGCCGCGCTCGCGGACGCGGACGCCCTGCGCGACGAGCTCGCGGCCGCCCGGAAGCGCGCCGAGCGCGCGGAGCGCCTCCTCGCGACGTTCGGCGCCGTCGCGGGCACGCTGGGCTCTGCTTCCGCGTCTTCCTCAGGGTCGACTGCTGCCGCTGCCCCCGGGTCTGGATCTGGATCGTCCGCTGCAACTGGACCCGGGGGCGCGGGAGCAGACGCCGCGCGCCCGGGCTCGTCGGGGTCGGGGACTGCGACTGCCCCGGGGACGGCGACGCCGAATGCCAGCGCGAATACGACAACGAGTGGAGGCGCGATACCTGGGGCAGGCGCGCTGCCGCAGGAGACGCTCGCGCTGCTCGTGGCGCTCGACGAGCGCACCGTGCGCGCGGAGCAGGCGCGGGACGAGGCTGTTGCGAGTGAGTGTCTTTCCCCCCCGTCTATGCGTTCGCCTCCCCTTCGTTGCCTCTGTCCTTCCCGCTCCTCTTCTCCTTCCTACCTTCCTCCCATCCTCCTCTCCCTTCGTCCTTCGTCTTGCCGCGGTCACCGCTTTCTTTTTATACCCCCCTTCTTCGCTCCGCCTGCCTTTCCTTTTCCTTCCCTCCCCCCGCGTCCCCCTCTTCCTTACACGTATACCGCCATTTTCCGGGCGCATACATCCACCGTCCTCGCTCGCTCCCTTCCCCTCGTTCGCTCCCTTTGTCTGCGCGCGCCGTCGTTCCTGTCGTCTGGCCTCCTTCCCTCTTCGTCTCCTTACCCCTCTTCGCCGCCTCCCTGCCCGCCCTCCCCGCCTTTTCCGCGCGCGTCCATCCACCTTTACCGCTCCTGCCCTTCTTCACTCCGTCCCTTCTCGGCTCCCTTTCGCCCCTCATGCCGTCCTTTCCTTTGCTTCCCTTGCATTCCCCCCTCTTCCCTCCCGCCCGCTCGCTCCTCGCTCGCCGCCTTTGTGGCGCACATACGCACCTTTGGGCGCACTACGCACCTATGGGCGCACATACGCACGTCTTGGGCGCACATACGCACGTCCCTCGCCCCCCACTCTCCTCCCACCGTCTCTTCTGCGCTCCTCCCGTCCTCCGTCCTTCTCTGTTCCCTGTTCTCTGTTCTCTCCTCCCCCCCCTCCTCCTGCCTTACCCTCATCTCTATTCTGCTTCTGCTCTCTCTCCTCGTTCCGTATTCTTCATTCATGCTAACTCTCCCCCCCCCCCCACCCCGCAGGATCCCGCCTCCTCGCAGACAACTGGACGCAGCTCGCGTCCTACCTCGCCGTCGTCGACGCGCGCGCCGGCCGACGCGCGCGCGGGCTTCGCGCGCATCGTCTCCGAGGGCGGCGGGCGCCTCGTTTGGTCGACGTCCCGCTGCCCGCGTCCGAGCACCCCGCGTCGATTGGGGGTGGAGGATGTACGCGGAGCCGGCGCACGTGTACGACGCGCCGCATTACGCAGGGGGGTATGGGGCGATGCCGCCCCCGCGCCGGGGGACGGCGTCGTCCGCGGCGCGGTTTAACGCGCTGCCGCTGCCGCCGCTGCCCGGCGCCGGGGCCAGTGGGTATGGGTACGGGCATGTAGGCGGGGGGCGGGGGAGTAATGGGAGGAGGCAGCGGGCGGAGAGCGGGGATTTGTATGCCGGTGGAGGGGGTGGGGGAGGGGGGTACCCGAATAAGCGGGCGAGGGGCGAGGGGGAGGGGGGGTATGAGGTTCGTGTCTCTGGTTTTCTCCTTCACTTTACGCCCCTGCCCGTTCCTTGTCCCCCCGCGCCGCTTTCCTCTCCTTCCCCCTCCGTCGTCGTCCCCACCTCGGGGTATTTCACGTCACCTCTCCCCCTCCCTTCCCTTCTCCGTGCCCCCCGCCCCCTTCTCCCCCCTCCCCGCCTTGCTTTACATTCCCTCTTCCTCCGCCCGCCGTTTCTTGGCGCGCGTCTCGTCCGCGTCCCTTCCCTGCTCCCTGCTCCCCTATTTCCCCTCGCCTTCCACGCGGGCGTCCTTCCTTCCTTCCCTTTTTCCCTTCCTTCCCTTCCCTTTTCCGCCTATTCAAAACAACGCATGCTGACGCCCTTTTCCCCCCTAGTACCACCACCCGTCGTACCCCTACCCGCGCTACCCCGCGCCCTCCGCCTCGTCCAACCCCTCCGCGCACCCCGCCCCCGCGCCCTCCTCGGCCGGACGGCGGCAGCACACCCTCCCGTCCTCCGCGTCGTCCGCGCTGCACCACCACCGGGAGCTCGCGTCGCTGTCCCGCGGCGATCGGGGCGAGCGCGAAGGACGAGAGAGCAGGGAAGGGAGGGAGGGCAGGGAGAGGGAGCGGAGCGCAAGCACGGCGTCGGACGACGTCGACGAGATGTTGCTGGCGAGCGCGAACGGCTCGCCGCGCCCGCACCACCCCGCCGCGCACCCGCACCCGCACCCGCACCCGCACCCCCACCCTTCCGCGCCCCACGCCGCGGCGCACCACGCGCACGTGCAGCGCTCGCCGGAGTGGCGCACGTCTACCTCGGTAACCGACCGCCCGGAGCGCAGCGCGACCGGTATGAGCGAGAGGCCGGAGAGGAGCGCGACGGGCATGAGCGAGCGGCCGGAGCGGAGCGGTACGCTGGAGCGGGGCGGGACGCTGGGCGCGGGGGGCCCGGAAAGGAGCGGGAGCATGGGGGTCGGGGCGTATGTCGGGATGCCTGCGGCGCCGGGGAAGGGCGGGAAGGGGAAGGGTGCGTTTTTTTTTGTTGCGCTTTCTATCTATCTTGCGCTTTCTCTCTTGCACTTTTCTGGGCGGCGGTCTCGCGCTAGCCTTCCTTCATCGACTGCGAAGACACGAACGATGCTGACTGCCGAACCACGGACAGATCTACACGCGTTCGCGTACGCGTCGCCTGGCCCTGCGGCGGCGGGCGTGACGGCGGCGGCGGCGCAGGTGGCGGGGCAGACGGGGGGTGCGGTGCGTATTTTTCTTATTTCTTTGTTTTTCTCTTCGTTTTCTTTTTGGACTTGGAGTTTTTTGGACTTGGGAGGGAGGAGAGAGCTCTTTCCTGTTCGCCGTACTATCGCCCTCCCACTTCTTGCGTCATTCGCGCCGCTTCCTACCCCCTTCCCTTCCCTTACCGCCTTCCTCGTCCTGCCTTCCCCTCCCTCGTCGTACCACCCCTCCCTCGTCGTACCACCTCGTTCCGCGTCGTCCTCCCTCTCCTGCGTCTTTCTTCCACCCGCCCGCCCGTCCACTCGCCCGTCCTGTCGTGTTCCTCGTCCTTCCGTCCTCCCCCTCGCCCTTTCCTCCTTTCCCACTCCTCCCTCCTTCTCCCCGTCCTCCATTCCCTCTCGTCCCGTCCTCTCCCCTGCTTCCCCCACCCATTGCTTTCTCGCTTTCCTCTTCCCTTGACTCCCTCCTCTTCCTCCCACCCTCTTACTCTCTCCTCTTCCTACCTCTCACTTGCGGCTCGCTGACGCTCGCCCACAGACGCCCTTCCCCCCAACCAACGCCGCGAACCAGCGCATCTGCCGGCAGTGCGGGCTGCCGGGGCGCTACAAGGAGGGCAAGTGCGTCGAGAAGTGGGGCCCGGGCCCGCTGGGGCCGGGGACGGTGTGTGATCGGTGAGTCGCTTTCTGTTTCTCCTGCGTTTAGTGGGAGGAGGGGGTGTGCCTGCGCGCGGGAGGCGACGGGAGGGGCGTGGCGGGGTGTCTGCGCGTGGGGGAGAGGGGGTGTGACGCTCGGAATGGGCGCGAGATGGGGGCGCAGGAGACG